TGAGCAAGATCTTTGAAGATCGTAAAATTTGAAGATCTTTTATTTTTTAAAAATTTTGTGCAACGATCTTCAAAGATCTTCATGATATTTATTTTTTTACCCCTTTATTAAAAGCCCAGATGTTTTTCAATTTTCATCAAGGCAGGAGGAGAGGTATAAAACATAAAAGAAATATTATATTAATAAAATTGTGGGCTTTTAATAAAGGGGTAAAAAAAATAAATATCATGAAGATCTTTGAAGATCGTTACACAAAATTTAAAAAAAATAAAAGATCTTCAAATTTTACGATCTTAAAGATCTATCTAGATCTTTGAAGATCTTTTTATTTTGAGCAAATGTACAACTCTGCTATATATATAGCATTCTAAGATTCTATGTATGTCTTAGTAGATTAATTTAAATGTAGAAAAATTATTTAAGTATAAATTATATTTTTAAGTTAATGGATTATTCTATAAAAAAAAACCATATAATGTTTTAAAAAAGAGAAATAATAAAAAATCCATCTATAAAGTCATTAGATACTTTAAGGTAAAAGTTAATTTTAATATAATTAAAAATTACGTTAAATCGTTTATCAACAAATTTTAAACTTTAATTTAAAATATTTCATAAGAATATCTTAAGAACTAAAATCGATGGATAAAACTCGATTACTTTAACAACCCGATATTAAACAATCCGTACTTACTAAAATTAGAATCAAATATTTAGATTGCACAATCTGCTAAAACTAGAATCAAAATCTACAGGAACAACTTTGTTTATTATCAAACAAGCATGATCAAAATATTGCCTAACACTTTTAGATATCTTAACATTTTGCTTAAAAGGGGGTGTAACTAAACTGAGAATTGACAGGTAAACTGCGAATGGACAGGTATAAATTTATTTATGGCCCATCAATTATATTTAAAAAATATAAATATGTATTTGTATTATGTAAATCAAATTTATTTTCAAAATTAAAATTATCTAAATAAATTAAATAGAGTAGTTCATAAATATAAAATATGTATAGAACAGATACGTTACAAAAATATAATACAAATAATATATTAAAAAAATCATAAATATATTTCCGTTAGATGGCGTAATAGACTAAAAACTTTGTTTTTAATTAAATAAAATATGAATTATAGGAGCATAATTTTTTATTTTGGATTAATTTATTTGGTACAAGCTATATAATCATAAAATGAAAAAAAATTTAAGTTACCGTCATTATTTTTTGAGTTATGATGTCAATTCTCAATTTAGTCAAAAATATTTTTGGGATTTTAAAAATATTTTATTTTTTTGACTCATTTTGTGTAAACTTACTCATATAAATATAAAATGAAAAAAATTTAAGTTTCCATCATTATTTTTTGAGTTATGATGTCAATTCTCAGTTTAGTCAAAATATTTAGATATGACGGAAAGTAAATTTTTTTTCATTTTATGTTTATATGAGTAAGTTTACACAAAATGAGTCAAAAAAATTATATATTTTTAAAATCCCAAAAATCTAAATATTTTTGACTAAACTGAGAATTGACATCATACCTCAAAAAATAATGACGGAAACTTAAATTTTTTTTCATTTTATGTTTGTATGAGTAAGTTTACACAAAATGAGTCAAAAAATAAAATATTTTTAAAGTCCCAAAAATCTAAATATTTTTGACTAAACTGAGATTTGACATCATAACTCAAAAAATAATGAGGGAAACTTAATTTTTATTTTATTTTATGTTTATATGAGTAAGTTTACACAAAATGAGTCAAAAAAATAAAATATTTTTAAAATCCCAAAAATCTAAATATTTTTGACTAAACTGAGAATTGACATCATAACTCAAAAAATAATACGGAAACTTAAATTTTTTTTCATTTTATGTTTATATGAGTAAGCTTACACAAAATGAGCCAAAAAAATAAAACATTTTTATAATCCCAAAAATCTTTTTGACTAAACTGAGAATTGACATCATAACTCAAAAAATAATGATGGAAACTTAAATTTTTTTCATTTTATATTTATATGAGTAAGTTTACACAAAATGAGTCAAAAAAATAAAATATTTTTAAAATCCCAAAAATCTAAATATTTTTGACTAAACTGAGAATTGACATCATAACTCAAAAAATTATGATTGAAACTTAAATTTTTTTTCATTATGATTATATAGCTTTTACCAAATAAATTAATCTAAAGTAAAGAATTATGCAAAAATCTAAATATTTTTGACTAAACTGAGAATTGACATCATAAATAATGATGGAAACTTAAATTTTTTTTCATTTTATGATTATATAGCTTGTACCATATAAATTAATCCAAAGTAAAAAATTATGCTCCTATTATATTCATATTTTTTATAAATTAAAATTAATATATTACGCCATCTAACGGAAATATATTTTGATTTCTTAAATTTAATATGGATGTTATATTTTCTATGTAACATATCTGTTCTATACATATTTTAAATTTAATGGACTACAATTTCTTCTATATTCTATTTTATTTATTTAGATAAAATTAATTTGGATAAATTTGATTTACAAAATAAAAACATTTATTTTATTTTTATAAAATAAAATTCATAGGCTATAAAATAAAGTCCATTCTCAGTTTACATAAATTGTAATATTAAAAATATTTCCAAGGCCAGAACCAATATAGCCTTAATTTTTTTAAAAAAGTTTTGCTGGCCAGTCTCAAATCTTTATATATAAAAATAATTTAATATTTAAAATAAAAAATATATCTCTATGCTATGAATAATATTTTACAAAATTTAATATAAATTGTTAAATTAAAAATATTTCCAAGGCCCGAATCAACCTAGCCTTCATTTTTTTTAAAAAGTTTTGCTGGCCAGTCTCAGATCTTTATATATAGAAATTAATAAAATATTCAAAATAAAAAATAGATTTATAAGCTATGAATAATATTTTACAAATTTAATATAAATTGTTAAATTAAAAATATTTCCAAGGCCCGAACCAACCTAGCATTAAATTAGTAAAATATAAAAAAAATTTTTACTTTGTATTTGAGAATTTATATATGAATAAATAATAGTTTTTTTTACCTTTATATATATTCTATTGAGATAAATAATTATATATTAAATTTTTCCATAATTGTAAACAACATTTTTACAATGGTGAATAAAATATTATGTAAGATATTTCGAGTACCGTTTATGTAATATACATTTTATCTTTTTAAAACTTTGAAATTTGTACTTGAAGTCCTACTTCCGTTTAATTTATCAACTAAATTTATTTAATAACCAAAGGTGTGCAACATAATTATGTAAGTCGTTTAATCTAAACTAAATTAATAATTAAATTTGACCGGAACCAGATTCATACAAAAACATTTGAAGGTATGAAGAAAAAATGAATTGTTCGACACTTTGTATCCTAATTTACCCAAGATAAAAATAATAAAAAAATGAGTGAATAAGAAAAAAATTCGTTAGCCTTAGTCTTTTATTAAAACGATTGTTAGACTTACTTATGACATAAATACCCAACAGTCTTTTTTAAACCCAACGGCCCTTTTAAGGGCCCCTAAATTTTAATTGAAGTAAACTAGTTTTACAATTCATATCATAACTCAAAAAATAATGACGGAAACTTAAATTTTTTTTCATTTTATGTTTACATGAGTAAGTTTACACAAAATGAGTTAAAAAATTAAATATTTTTAAAATCCCAAAAATCTAAATATTTTTGACTAAACTGAGAATTGACATCATAACTCAAAAAATAATGACGGAAACTTAATTTTTTTTCCATTTTATGTTTATATGAGTAAGTTTACACAAAATGAGTCAAAAAAATAAAATGTTTTTAAAATCCCAAAAATCTAAATATTTTTTGACTAAACTGAGAATTGACATCATAACTCAAAAAAATAATGAGAGAAACTTAAATTTTTTTTTCATTTTATGTTTACATGAGTAAGTTTATACAAAATGAGTAAAAAAAATAAAATACTTTTAAAATCCCAAAAATCTAAATATTTTTGACTAAACTGAGAATTGACATCATAAGCATAACTCTAAAAATATTGATGGAAACTTAAATTTTTTTTCTTTTATGATTATATAGCTTGTACCAAATAAATTAATCCTAAGTAAAGAATTATGCAAAAATCTAAATATTTTTGACTAAACTGAGAATTGACATCATAACTAAAAAAATAATGATGGAAACTTTTTTTTTCATTTTATAATTATATAGCTTGTACCTAATAAATTAATCCAAAGTATAGAATTATGCTCATATTATTCATATTTTTTTAAAAACTAAATTTTTAATATATTACGCCATCTAACGGAAATATAATTTAATTTTTTAAATTTATTATGGATGTTATATTTTCTAAGTAACATATCTGTTTTACATATTTTAAATTTATGGACTCCAATTTCTTCTATATTCTATTTTATTTATTTAGATAAAATTAATTTGGATAAATTTGATCTAAATAAAAACATTTATTTTATTTTTATAAAATAAAATTGATAGGCTATAAAATAAACTAACTGTCTATTCTCAGTTTACCTGTCCATTCGAGTTTTCCTGTCAATTCTCAGTTTAGTTACACCATTAAAAAGCATGTATACTATTTTAAAAACTTTGCATAGTCCAACTATTATAGAAAATTGTATTTCTTGTCATTTTTCATCATTATACTATAAAGATATAGTATTATCTGGATCTAATTTGTTGCACATATATAATATCATTCATGATTCCAGCAATGGTTAGCTATTGATGAAATTTTATATATAACATAACTTTAGATAATTATAATATCAACAAAATTGGATCCTATTCATTTCTTGAAAATATTTCATGCTTAAGATACATATACTTAAGTGATATTAAGTCTCATGTATTAATTATTGGATTTAAGGATGCAAGGGTAATTTAAAAAAATAATTATAACTTTTCTATTTTTTTTATTAGTTTTCAATCATTCAATTTGATTCTTCTAGCTATAATCTGAAGACAATTTCTCTTCATAATTTTGAAACAGATGATTTTAAAGTATAAATTAAAATTAGGCAAACAATAAATAGATTTATAGGGTGGCTATTATACATGTGTAACTTTACCCAGACTGTCCTCTGATCCACTATCTCAATGTGCAACTATGTCCTTTTTTAATTATTATTTTGCTATACTGCCTTTATCCAATATATATGGAACATCAACCTTAGATGAAAATCATGAATATACTGAATTATTTGGTGACAATGTCAAATTTAAATCTGAAAATACATTGAATGATAAGTATGTATATAATTTCTATATTCAAATTAAATATAAACATTTAAAATACACCACTTAGTTATGCAGTATTTATTTTTCTTTTTTGAATATTGCTATAAAAATTAATGTAACATAAGAAATTCCTAATATGCTGTTAAGTTTTTTATTAATTCAATACATATGATAACTAATTTCAACTACAACATGTGTATAAATAAACTATTCATTAATTTTACAACTTGCCTACTTAATAATACTCTATCTTATATAATTATATTAAAATAATTTATTTTGATATTCTTGAACATTCAAATTAATATTTTTATAAAAATAAAAGCATAAAAGATGTGATAGACAAATCATGCTTCCACCTACCATCATCGATTATTATAAATGTTAAACAAGTGGTTGCCAAATTAACCAATATATTGGATTTCTCCTTTTTGCATGGATATTATGAGCCAACTTTGTTAATTTTATATGAACCATTTCAAACATGGGCAGGGTAATCTTCAAATTTCTTGATAATATTTAAATAATTTCCAATTTTTAAATAATAAGTCAATCAATATTGAACTTATGTACTTTTTTATAGTAATATAAGGGGGTGGGGGAATCCTGGGAAAATAAACCTCATGAAAAAAACCTCCATATTTGCATGTGCAAATGTTAAATTGAAAGATATAATTTACTTTGATGATGCATAGTTGAAACTATGAATACATCATTCAGTAAATATATTCTCATAGGGCTATATCCTATCCAGAAGACCTTATATCACTTTTAGATTAACGGAAGGCATGGAAAGAATATAAAAATTTAATTTAAGTTTTATTTTATTTTTTATTATTACTTTTAACACTAAAATGTTTAACATTTTGTGTTTTATATATATACTATTTAATTTTTACACTTTTTACATATTGAAATAATAAGATTTTTAAAATAGTTATATAAAAAAAGAATTTCGACAAGTTCGTCCTTATATTTTATAAAAAGTTAAAGTAAATTTACGAAAATTTCATTAGGAAAATATAAAGTTTAAAGGTCATTAAATTACAAAAGTAAAAGAAATATCAAATTTTTTATATTCAAAAAATTATCCAATTAACATTTCCCTCTTTTTTAAATGTCTTTTTTCTTCAGTTTCTTCTAGTCATTTGTTTCTCAATTTCTCCATTTGTCACTTGTTCGTGTTTATATATCTTGAGATTGTTTGTTTGACCATCTGATTATCGTTTGTTGAATCGATTTTCGAACATCTTTTATGAAATATCGTTGGTTGAACATCATTGTTGAAACGTCGTTGGTTGAACATCATTGTTGAAACGTCGTTGGTTGAACATTGTTTGTTGATTTGCTGTTTGTATTGATCATCCCATTTCTCTTTCAAAATTTTATATATATATTTTATATATATATTTTTTACAAAATTTTTTATTTATTTATAACAATCATTTTCTATGTCGCAGGTCATATTCTCGCTTTTGAACTTGACTTTGAATTTTTGAACTTGACTTTGAATTTTCGAATTTTGAACTTGAACTTGTTCACTTCTTCCCCCTCTAAAATTTTTATCAGTATTATATATCGATGCTCTCTTCTTTATTTGATCCAAATATCTTCTAATAATATGATGTCCATTGTCTATTCTGTACGTTAAGTTTCCTTCTTTTTGTATCACCATTCCTTTGTCCCAAATATTTTCTTTAAACGTTTTATACCAAATTTTTTCTCCTACATCTATATCTCTATTATCCGATATTTTCCTCTCTAATATATTTTCTTTTACTTCCATTGGTTTCAATAAATACCATTTAGTCCTCATTGTTCTTGAAAACATCAATTTGCTAGGTATCATCTTTGTTGTATAATTAGACGTGTTTCTATAATTGAACAAAAATTTTTCCAACGCAATGTCCACATCTATTTTCTTGTTGTTTCCCATATTTCTTTTCATGCTCATATTCATCGTTCTTATCATGCGTTCACATTGCACATTTGATTCTTGATGATGTGGTGATGTGAGTATGTGATTAATTTCATGATCTTCATAAAATTTTTTAAATAAATGGCTGGTAAAATTAGTACCATTCTGTTTTTATTTTGTATGGTATTTCAAATAAATTTATAATTCTCATCAATTCTTTTATCGTAGATTCAGTCGTTAAGTTTTTCATCCGTTTTATTATTGGAAATTTGCTATATGCATCAACAAATACCATAAAATTGTCATTTTAAAATTGTGCAAAATCTATGTGTACTCGTTCAAAAATCTTAGTTGCTTTCTCCCATGGGCTTTGTATGTTATGTGGGTTATCTGTGTATTTATTGCATAAATCACTTTTCACCTCTTGATCTATTTCTGTATTTATACCAGGTCACCACAAGTAATCTCTTGCTAACAATTTTGTTTTGCCTGCTCTTAGATGTCCCTTGTGTAATTCACGTAAGATCTCCTTTCTCATGTTCATCGGTATTATTATTCTGTTTTCCTTAAAAAGACAATCCTTTATCACCATCTCCATATTTTTGTACGTTTTATTTTTTATCGGGTTGTTATTCCTAATATTATCAATTATTTCCATTAATTCTTCATCCTTATATGTTTCTTTAACTATTCTATTGAAGTTTATTAGGATGTCCCATAATTTGTCATCAATTTTTTCACCTATATTCTTTATCGCATTTTCTGTATTTGTCAATGGTAATCTTGATAAACAATCTGGCACTAAATTCTGTTTCCCCGGTCTATGTATTATTGTGTAATCATAAGCTCCCATTGCTAAATTCTGTTTTTGTAAACGCATTGAAATTGAAGTATTCTCTTTGAGTGTTTTTGAAAACAAATATATTAGCGGTTTGTGATCTGTTATTATCGTAAATTTTGTCCCAATCAAATATTCTTGAAATTTTTTTCACAGCATATATCAGTGGCGTAGCTAGAAATTTTCCTTAGAGGGTGTCCATAAATATAAAAGCTGGGGGGCTTTGCCCCCACACCCCCTTTAACGGGTCTTTGGCCCTTTTGCCCGACCTTCGGCCGGGTTTATCTTACAAATCATATCCATATCTTCGATAATATATAATAAATATATTTTTTAAATGCATCAATAATATATTATTATAATTTATTAGATTATTCTCAATGACTTTATAATAATACTATCCAGAATAATTTCAATAGTAATATAATATCCTTCCACAAACATCAAAACCAGAAAAATATAATTCATATAAAATCACTTTTAAGTCTTTTGAACGTATAATCAAAAAATTTTGCTCTGGGAGGGGTTCAAACCCGAAAACCACCCCCGTAGCTACGCCACTGGCATATATTATAGATAGAGCTTCTCTTTCAATGTTCGTATAATTTGTTTCGGCTTTTAATAAAGTTTCGACGCAAATGCTATAGGTTTTTCTTACCATCGCCTTCAATGTGAAATAATACTGCACTCCTTTTTTCGAAGCGTAAATAGAAATTCCTATAGGCAATTCAGGATTGTAAAAATTTAAAGTTGGCCGACTACTAATCAACATTTTCTAATCATCAAAACTTATCTGATGTGCCTCTTCCCATATCCACTTCTCTTTGTTTATAATCTTGTACAGCGGGTCTGCTAAGTCTGCAAGGTTACACAAAAATTTTCTGTAATAACTGGCCATGCCTAAAAATGTTGCTAATTCCTCTTTTGTTGTTGGTTTTGGCATGTTTGTAATGGCTTTGATTTTATCTTGTATTTCTTTTTCATCTATATCATGTTCCAAAAATCTTATCTCTTTCTTCATAAACACACTCTTGTTGAAGTTTGGTGTCAGTCCATATTTTGTTATTTTGTCGAAGACCTTTTTTATGTTGTTCAGATGTACTGTATCATTATCACCAGTTATCAATAAATCATCTATGTAAAATATGACATCTTTCATACCTCAAAAAATTTTATCCATGGTACATTGGAAAATTGCTGATGACGTTTTTAAACCAAAAGGTAATCTCGTAAATATTGATATTGTAAGTAAATCTCTAGAATGTATTGGTAATTGAAGAAACGCGTTTTTGAAGTCAATTTTTGTAAATTTTTTTCCTTTCGATAATTTTGAAATTAAATCATTAATACGTGGTATCGGATATTTAAAGTCCTCTAATACAGGGTTTATAGTATTTTTAAAATCAGCACATAGTCTTAGTGATCCATCACTTTTATAAACTGGAGTGAGTGGACTTGCTCATCGTACTTCATCTACTGGTTCTATTATCTTATCATCAATCCATTTTTGTAATTCTTTTTTTATTAAATCAAGTCTTTTATATGGAACACGTCTTGGTGGTATAATTTTTGGTTTAGCATCTTGTTTCAAATGTAATTTAATATCACTACTATATATAGGTTTTTTATTAATTTTTGAATTGCATTCTTTTATCAATTTTTCTATCATATCATTATTACTTTCCTCGATTAGATTCACAAATTTATTAAGTATGTTTCCGAAAACTTTTATCCACGTTCTTCCCAGAAGTGCAGTCTTGTCACTTTGGACTATCTTCATATCTCGCTTTTATTTGAACGATTCCTAACACCTCTATTTCGTGTCCGATTTATTTAAGACTTTAATTCCTATCTTTCTTGCAATATTAGTCGGCAATATTGAAAATCTTGACCCGGTGTCGATCTGCATGACTATCGGTATTTCATTAAGGTACATCGCAACTTTGTAAACATCTTTTGCCCTGTCATCATCTTCCATATTATATTCACATCAATGTTAAATAAACTGTGTTCCTTTTTATCATTATTATCCTCCTTTATATCTTCTATATCGACGGTATTTATATTATTCGAATATCTGGATAGATTATTATTATTGTCTCTATATCTGTTGTTGTATGACTTATTATTGTTTCGATTATTATTATTGTATCTTAGTATGTATCTTCATTCGTTTTGATGTCTATAATCTCTATAATTATTTTCATTATATGTATGATTATCATTATTATTATACCTATAGTTAGTGTAGTTGTTATTATAATTATTTTTATTGTTAAATCTTGTAAAATTATTATACGATCTTGGCCCATTATACCCCCTATCATTATCATAAACTCTAGAATTATAATTGTTTTGATATCGTAGATTAAAATTGTTTTGAAACCGCGGATTGAAATTATTCCCTTGATAATTATTTCTTTGATAATTGTCGTATCCGCTTCCATTGATTTCTATATACGTGATTCGTTTGCACATCTACCCATCTATTGCGATCATCGTATTTTATCATTCTTCTATCCGTATCCGCTTGATTGTCTTTCTGCATTTCTATTTGTTTTATTTCGGTTGTGTCTCCTTCTATTTTTATATTATCAATTTTATTAATTATTTTATCATATGCTGCTTCTTCCTCATCTCCTTTCCTATTTTCATTATCTCATGAATATCTATACTTTCTTGTGAAATTTTCTGACGTATTTCTTTATTGGTTGAAAATATTAATCTCTCTATTGCTCTGTTTTAATTACTAAATCTGTATTTATTACTTAACAAACATAATCTGGTTACCCAATTACAGAATGTTTCATTCTTATCTTGTACCACTTCACTAAATTCTTTTAAATACGATATATGGGCCATTCCATGTCAAATCGATCAAAAAAGGCACTTTATCGGCTGACCCCTTTTAAAATTGTTAAAAATTTCGGGAATTATTTACATAGGTAAAAGAATGATAAAGTCGTTTATTTTAGCTCGCTAGTACACCTGGTTGTCGAGATATAGGGGATCAAAGGTACAAAAAAGAGCCACTTTGGAATCTGTAAAATTTTTAAAATGCTTATATTAAAAAACTATTTATAGTAAAATAAATTATAATATATCATTTTGTAGGTAAAGATATTCTCTAATGGACTAACAAAGAATAATAAATATTGGCGCCATTATAGGCTTTTAGCATCCGGTTTACCTAAATTGCTTTACCTGTATTTTTAAGCAAAATAGTGAGGTTTTTGAATTTTTTTTTTTTGCTTTTTATTTAGACACCTTTTATAAATATATATACGATGTCAAAACCTTGGCGACGCTATCGACATTTCCGAAATATACATTTTTACCAAAAATTGAAGAAAAAAGTAGATGGCGCTAATGGTTGAAAAATATTATTCTTAAGGAAAATGAAAATATTGATATGTTAGAATTGTGGTAAAATTTCCCAGTTCTGTCCTCCCCTTCCTCCCACTATATTAAAATGTTATAGCGAGCGAATGACTTATTAGCTCGATAATATATAACAGCTGCAGTAAGAACGTATATTTTTTTAGGCATATATTCGATTATATTTTACAAAATAAATTGTTTAAAATGATCTCTCTTTCTGCGAAATAATTTTAACCTGTCCATTCAGATTAATTTTATCGTCTGTTTACCAATAACAATAGATAAAAGCGAGATATGAAGATAAAACTCAAGACTTAGATGCGTATGTAGTCCAAAGTGACAAGACTGCACTTCTGGACGTGGATAAAAGTTTTCGGAAACATCTTAATAAATTTGTGAATCTAATCGAGGAAAGTAATAATGATATGATAGAAAAATTGATAAAAGAATGCAATTCAAAAATTAATAAAAAACCTATATATCGTAGTGATATTAAATTACATTTGAAACAAGATGCTAAACCAAAAATTATACCACCAAGATGTGTTCCATATAAAAGACTTGATTTAATAACAAAAGAATTACAAAAATGGATTGATGATAAGATAATAGAACCAGTAGATGAAGTACGATGGGCAAGTCCACTCACTCCAGTTTATAAAAGTGATGGATCACTAAGCCTATGTGCTGATTTTAAAAATACGATAAACCCTGTATTAGAGGACTTAATATCCGATACCACGTATTAATGATTTAATTTCAAAATTTTCGAAAGGAAAAAAATTTACAAAAATTGACTTCAAAAACGCGTTTCTTCAAATACCAATACATAAAGAATCTAGAGATTTACTTACAATATCAAGATTTACGAGATTACCTTTTGGTTTAAAAACGTCATCAGCAATTTTCCAATGTACAATGGATAAAATTTTTGGAGGTATGAAAGATGTCATATTTTATATAGATGATTTATTGATAACTAGTGATAATGATACAGTACATCTGAACAACATAAAAAAAGTCTTCGACTAAATAACAAAATATGGACTGACACCAAACTTCAACAAGAGTGTGTTTATGGAGAAAGAGATAAGATTTTTGGAACATGATATAGATGAAAAAGGCATACATCCGAATGAAGATAAAATCAAAGCCATTACAAGCATGCCAAAACCAACAGCAAAAGAGGAATTAGCAACATTTTTAGGCATGACCAGTTATTACAGAAAATTCTTGTGTAACTTTGCAGACTTAGCAGACCCGCTTACAAGATTGTAAACAAAGAGAAGTGGATTTGGGAAGAGGCACATCAGAAATGTTTTGATGATTTGAAAACGTTGATTAGTAGTCCGCCAACTTTAAATTTTTACAATCCTGAATTTCCTATAGGAATTGCTACTGACGCTTCGAAAAAAGGATTAGGTGCATTATTATTTCACATTGAAGGCGATGGTAAGAAAAACCTATAGCATTTGCGTCGAGAACTTTATTAAAAGCCGAAACAAATTATATGAACATTGAAAGAGAAGCTCTATCTATAATATATGCTGTGAAAAAAATTTCAAGAATATTTGATTGAGACAAAATTTACGATAACAACAGATCAGAAACCGCTAATATATTTGTTTTCAAAAACACTCAAAGAGAATAATACTTCAATATCAATGCGTTTACTAAAGTGGAATTTAGCAATGGGACATAGACCGGGGAAACATAATTTAGTGCCAGATTGTTTATCAAGATTACCATTGACAAATACAGAAAGCGATAAAGAATATAGGTGAAAAAATTGATGACACACTTGAATAATAAAATAGCTGATGGGTTAATGTTCACTAATGCCTTGAACACATGACAACCCTTTGTTTGAAGTTATACTCATATAGACACATTCATGAATTGAATCCTCAATTTAATACTTAGTCTTCACTGTTGTAGTGCAATAAATATGCACATTTAGATACTATTCTGTTTATTTTTGCCATTTACCTCTGATAGCCTTGGAGAAATGAACCATTTAAAAAAAATTATAGGCAAATGATTAACTATTACTATGGGGTACCAAAATGAAGACTTCTTAGACAAAACAGTTTCGTTTGAAATTTGCAGATCTTACAACATTTTATTCATGGATTGATGCAATTTTGTCACATGTATATTTCATCGATTTTTACTAGTTCAAATATAATTTTTAATTCTTAAAAAAACAATTGAAAACTAACCCAATTTTTTTCGTGGGATTTTTTTTTCTTGAGGTTGTATTTCCTGATATCATATCTCTCAGGATTTTTTATATATTATTGGAACCATGCGCCCGCTTTTTGTGTTCCCCCAAACGCCCCGTTTATTGTCATCGCGCCAGCGTCGCCGCTAATTGTCATATTGGGTGTGCACGGCCCCCACACAATTTTTAACACTACATGCAGCTAACATTGCTCATTTCAAATGATAATTGATTTCTGGGGGTTATAAAAATCAAAATACACTTTTAATCATTAATGCATTATTGGAAGTTAGTTTGGAGAGGGTAAATTAATATAAATCTAAATATCGGATCGGGTCTTGTAGTAATATATCAAGATATCGGATAGATTAGAAAAAATTTAGATTGGCACAGCCCTAATTTACTATATATTTTTTTAGCGTTTCTTAAAAAGCATTTACAAAAAGTAATAATTTAATGTTAATTTATATTGTTGCGATAATTCACTCCGTTCTTGATGAGGCAGCTAAAAAAGTAATGCGCCTCCGGCTGCCGATAATAAACATCATGACGGCAGTCGGTAGTTTGGTGGGCGTACAGGTCTATATATTATACGTCTACTCTTTTTTAATAAAAGAAATTATTTTTTTAAATATAGCTTATTGATATAAAAATTAAAATCCAAACAGAAAGGTAACCACTCGGCAAGAGTCAGTATGCATGATAGCTTTGTCCATCAATTTGTATCAAAGGGTTTATCCTATCATATGGTCTATGAGCGATTTACCTTACGATTGCCTCAGAGCCGTTCCAGTGCCAAAACCTCTAGGTTTCTTTACCCCCTGCATTAATAAATCAAATGAGAGATATAATATATACTGACCACATTGTTTTTTTCCCTTATTAGAGCATGTTTTTTTTGTTGACCAATAATATGAAAATTATTTTGAATTGGCAGGTTTCTTCAAATGCCTAGTATAAACTAGTTTCATTCAAAAGCGAATCGAATAAAAAATTATTCGCATTCGATTTTTTTGAACGAATTTAATAATTTACTATTCGTAATTTTGCCAATCGAATAAGAATAATATATTTTACTATTCGTGCGGATACGATTAAATTATTCGATTCGTTCAAATCAAATACGAATAATTCATAATTCGACTAGTATTCATAATTCTCTTTAACATTTATTTATTTCAATAAAAAAAAGGTGGCGTCTTAATCCTAGCTACTAATTCATTGCTCTACCTCAATCAGCGCAAAAGTGTACCCATATGGACTCGAGCTCTCAATAAATTAGCCCCCAGCTCGCTCACTAATGGTATCCCTTCCTATTCATCTAACCCCGTAGATCATGATACTCTGAGCCTAAAATTACAGCATGATTCGTGTCATGCCGTCTTTTACGAGCCTTATAAAGTTGTGGTAGCCGCTAGCGAAGGATATTTTTTTGTGATAGATATGAGGGAGAGATCAGCTAACCACACAATACATCATCGGATAAATATGGTGATGACAGATGTCAAGCCCATAGCTAGTGATGTAAATTTTTTGTTTTTTCTTAGTGAATGCCAAGGGTCCAGATTCTGACCACTCCACGAAATTTTTTTTAGTCTGTTACAATCAGATTACATTTAGTCGAACCATTGACCTTTACCATATTTCTCCATTCACATGTTTCAATGTCAAAACGCTATTTAACAAAAAAAATCCTCTATATACTTAAAAGTAAATAGATATGTGATTACGTTAATTAAATATTATTCTATCAAATACTGTGCCCCCCATACGCCTTTCTAGGCCAATGACGTTAAAATGCCTTATAGTATAATTATATAGGCTCACCCCCCCCCCCCCCCCCCACCCCTCCTCAGCAAAACAATAAATCACATATTATTTAAAAAATTGTAAGCATAGTTCTCAGCTAATTTTTTTAAAAAGCATATTAGTTAATTAAAAACTTAGTAAAGTAGCACAAGAAAAGTGTGTAATTTGTACACCCGTTTAAATATTTAAAGTTTGTTTTAAAAAAATAAATAAAATGACTTTTTAAAACAATATATATTATCATTTAATCGTTGCCTATTCGGCCAATTAATTAGATTTAGCATAAATCTAAATGATCTCTTTTCGGGAGCTGTTGAAGGTAAAATAAAAATGAGGCTTAAATATTATTATTAAGCATTTCTACATCCCGGCGAATGCCTTTTAAAAAGATTAAAACATTCAACTTGACATTTTTATAGATATTAGTAGTAGTAATTACTACTAGTCATGCAAAGTCGTATTTGAGCCGATTTTTAAAACCGGCTAACTCAGTTTTTAATTCAGAAAATATTACCCAAACCTGAAGATTTTGCTCATAAATGACACAAAGGTTTCGACATCTATTATCTCGAGGCTTCGGCAATATTTTTCTTGCTAAAATATTGAGTTAGCCGTTTCTAAAAACGGCTTAAATGGAGCGATTCTTTATCACTAATTAACCGTTAAGTGATTATTATCAAAATGAGTTATCCTATTCCATAGGAATATAAATTTATCGACATCATTTTCTTGAGTTTTTGATTTCGGAAATGTAATATTTTTTCAAACCTTATCACAATTCTTATCCATCTATTAAATTAGGGATGAAACAAAGTAGCTGAAAGGGCCTTTATATTATTTCGCAGTCACATTCATTTATTTGGGGCCGTTAGACCGATCGAAAACTATTTGATATTCCATTTGTTTCGATTCGATTCAAATTTTATGAATACGAATTATTCTACGTAATAATAAAAATTTCTTTCTTAAATTTTTAGTAAATATTCGAATTATTTGTTTTAGAATTATATATATGCATATATTCATATTTAAAGTTTCAATGATTATATAATACTTATTATATATGAATATTATAAATTCTACTGCGTCACCTTCCATAACATTAAAGCATTTGTTAAAATCAGATACCTGCAGTGGTACCATTTACCTGGCTCGGACCGGATTTTTTAAAAATCTGTTTATCTTTCGGTCCGAGTATTTTTTTTAAAGGTATGATTAAAATTAATAACAAAATAAAAATTTACAAGGAATTTTGCAAATATATTAAAATTTATAATATATTGTATATCTAATGAATTAATGCGAAGAATTACATATTAGTAAAGGAATATATATAATAATAATAAATATTGAAAGAAGATCAACATACACATATAGTCCCATTAAATAATCACGCAAATGAAGAAAATATAATCTTTATCAATATTAAATGTAAAACAAATTCACCAATATAAGCTTTAAATTTATATGTTCAAATATCTTAAGCTTATTATTGCTCAATTTATATTTTATAAAATATTATATTAACATTTTATTTAAATAATTAGGTAGAGGTTTCTTCAAAATTTTAGCAATAACTATGTCATTGACAAAACTTATAGGCTCTTATGATAAAAATGATCCGAAGTAAAATATGAATTATATTATAATGTTTTTTAAGAAGTAGATCCCTGAAATATATCTGAACAAACTATTCTTGTAATAAGATTATAGATATTTTTGTCTGTACAGTTCACGATGTGCGCTATCCAGTCAATTAGGACTACTCTACCTCTCATGAATGTGATAATATTGTTATGCATTTAATTTGATGAAATTGTTTTGCATTCAATATTAATGATATTGTTTTGCATTCAATATTAATGATATTGTTTTGCATTCAATATTAATGATATTGTTTTGCATCTAATATTTATGAAATTGTTTAGCGAAAGGTCTTGTGATAAAACACCTAAACATAAAAAAGAAAGCAGAACTAGCTGACGACACCGATGGTTTTGCATTTAATATTTATGAAATTGTTTTGCATTTAATATTGATGAATCTTTATATTTAATATTGATGAATTTGTTTTACATTTAATATTGATAAAAGATTATATTTTCTTCATTTGCGTGATTATTTAATGGAATATGTGTATGTTGATTTTCTTTTAATGTTTGTTTATATATCAATTTACTATGAAAATGTAATTCTACGCTTATATTATAAATTTTAATATAATTGCAAAAATCATTGTTAGTTTTGCTTTGTTATTAATTTTAATAAATGTTTTAATGTTATGGAAAGTGAAATGAAATATCTTATTTTTATTTTTAAGCGGTATTTAAATGAAAAATAATATTGAAAAGAATTACAAATATAAATGCAAAACGTATTTATATTTAGTATTAATTACTAGTATTCGTTTTTTAAAAAAATAAAAGTAGTTTGGAAGATAAATGAGTAGAGAATTTCATGCAAATGTATTTATTATTTCCCTTTATGGATAAATTATGCTCCCATAGGCAGATTATTTAAATCTTATCAAAATCGGTCTTTTCTTTGTACTCCTAAATTTAGATATGATAAGACCAAATTATATCAGGGTCTTCTCCTATTGTACTTACCAAATGTTGATCATGGTTTGTAAAAAAAAATCTTCAGACTTTTTTTGAAGGTATTTTTTGCTTAAAAATTCATTTGGTCTACGATATTTTAAGATTTTTTTCGAAGAAAGCCGAAAAAACTTTAAAATTTTATAAATTATGATTTCTTTTAAAATAATTAATTTTGTTAATCCATTATTTAGATGTGTTTTTGTGGTCCGGGCTTAATTTTCATAGCTTCTCACATTTCGGATAGCTTCCTTTTAAAGGTAAAAAATGATTTATCAAGCGATTCATCTGCCCATGATAAGGATAACATGGTAATCATTATATTTTTTCTAAATAACAAATTTTTTCCCCACAAAAATATCCCCTATATATTTCGGATTTTAAAACGCGGTTTATATTGTTTCGAATGACACAAAATATTTAGATTAAATCAAAAAATTGTAAAAAAAGAAGGTATTTTCCCCCTTACTGCTATTACCCAAGGGTGATACCACTTGTCTCAGATTCTATATTATATAACTATTTATACCTTAAGAAAGAAACCCCCTAATATTAAAGACCATTTTAAATCAAACCTTAGAATAATCATCCAATTGATGGCACGCATAATAATATTTACAATGGAGACGCGAAGAGGATCAAATTAACGACCGGGAATGACGATGCTAATCCGACTCATGCCAATCATTTCTCATACCGATTCCAAGTTTTTTAAATACTTATTTTTATATATAAAAATATTTAATTATTTACAAGATATGCGATAATATAATCAATGTCGGCCCATGTTCTCATTCCTCTCTGGGTCAACCCATTATAAACGGGGAAGATTTTGTCGGCGATGGTCAAAAGGAAGAATCTCACACCTATAATGATCCAGATTTAGAATTGATCGTCACTTCCGGAAAAGAAGAGACTGGGGCTCTTACCTTAATGCAGGTCAGTATTTATATTTATTTTTGCTCAAGTTATTTGGTAAGTAGAGTAAAATATAGACATGTGATTATCATTGATTGCGACGCTCTTAACTGAACTTAACTTATCAGGATTCTCTTATAGATCCTGATACCTCATGTATTCCCTACTTCGGCTGCCCTTCCGATATTTGTTTGGAACATGAATAAACATCTTTATTAGCTCTCAATGTATAAATCTTCCCCCCTCCCCCAACATAACAAAAAAATTTTACTACACAATTGGTTCCACCTTTATATTTTACATTGAAACTTCTTTTAACGTATAAATTTAAAATCAAAACTGCAATCGAAAAAACCTCCAACCTCTGCTTAATCACTTCAACCTCATTCGGCTTCATTTCAATCAGGGCTTATTGGACGACTTTTCTTGCATCCATTTCTGCTTGCAACATAAGCCGGGATATAATGTTAATCGTCGAATATGCAATCCCAGTATCTTCTCCTGCCTTCATCTTAATTTAAGACTTGGGCAAATTTATCTGCCAAAGTAGATGATCCAAGGGAGGGTATCTTAGGCAAGAATAAACTAATTCAGATCAGAGGCCTTTATGGGTCATAATTTTTTTATCAGACCCGGCCCAGGCCCGCAATAAAATTTTTCTAGGCCCGGTCCGACACTGTACATATTTAAATAAATAAAAAATTCCCAAGTCCATAGTAAGTTTCAAATATTTTATCCAAGCCCTGCGCACATATCTAAAAATTAATTTATTGTTTAATGAAAATAAACAATATTTCAATGTATTAAGGCAAAAAATTATTATTAGAAGAAAGAAATAGTAATTTTTTTTAAAGTTAGCAAAATGTTTTAAATAAAGCTAAATTTAAATGAAAAATTTTAAGCCCAAGCCCGAGTCAACATTAATTTTTTTTCTCCAAACCCACGTTCGCTGGAAAACATAATATAGGCCCACATTCCATGCATGACCCATGACCGTCTCCAATTCAGATACTGAAAAACGAATTTTTACAAGTTTAAGTCTCATTGTATAATTCCCTGGAACATTAATCCCTTCCTTCAATCCTCCTTTGCCCATCACACTTTCTAATTTCCATTCTATCTCTAACGAGCTCATATTTGCATTCTATTTAAATTACAATATATTTCTTTTAATTCGGTTGTAAAATAATTTTTTTTAAGAAATATTGATTTATAATTCCATAATATGATTTGTAAACTATGTTTGAATACTACAAATATGTTTGATAATTTTTGAATATAATAATGAATAAGTTTAATTTAAAAACAAAAATTTATTTTCTTCTTATTTTATAATTCTTTTCTTTGAATTTTTTTTATTCAGCGATCGATCATACCTCAATTGATTACCACGTTTCATCTGCCTGGCATTATCAACTTGTGGACTTTAAATAGTGTAAATTTTGTTTATACTGCTTGATTATTATTATATGGTTCTTACTTCACTAAAATCGATTTTATGGGAGTGCGATTTTAAAAAACAAGCTATGCCAATTAAAACTAAGATATTTAGCAGTGTCTTAATAAGGTAACAATTGCACGACTCGCCCGCCCACCTGTTCATTATTTTTTAAAAAAAATTTCTGCCCGGTCTGGTTGCAAAAATTTTTTTATGGTCCCCGTTTATAAAAATGTTTTTTTAAATAAATATACCTATTCTTTCAATATTCTGAACCTTTAAAAACTATCTTCATTATTTTAAGATGAAAGATGAAAATTATTTTTGATTTAATAAAAAAGTTTTTTTTAAAAAATAATTATACTTAATTGAATAATTTATAAAATATTTTATACCTTTAATTTTATAAAACTATTAACTATTTTCTAAATATCGATAAAATGGAAATAAGAAATATGAGAAGTGAATGAATACGATATATTATTCTTATGGTGTAACAATTTTTTAAAATATATTTTATATTATATTATTCTTATGGTGTAACAATTTTTTAAAATATATTTTATATTATATTATTCTTATGGTGTAACAATTTTTTTTAAATATATTTTATATTATATTTATTCATTTTTAATTTTTATATTTAAATATTATATAATAATCGCGATTTAAAATATTTGGCCCGCCTTTGTATTAAAAAAAAAATTTCAGGTCCTATCCGAGTATCCGTAAGGCCCGGCTCGCCTGATATTTAAACAATCTTCTTTAAAAAAATTTATAGATATATTTATTTTTGAAAAATGTAAAAGAGCTGTTTTAGAAATTTGAAGACAGATCCTTTTGGCCAATTTTGATGGATCTTCAAACTATAAAAATATTTAAGAAAAATATATCATTAAGTTATCAATTTCCAGATTTCGTAAGAAGGATCCAGTAGCTATCTATGCTAACTCTTAAACCATGAAAAAAAATATATGGCGGTTAACAACACTTTTTCGCTTAGCAAAAATATATCTTGTTATTTACAAGATTTTTTATCGCTGCGATCAGAAAATCATTTATAACTCGGAAAACTTATCTTTGAGAAATGAGAAAATGACCTTGAGGACGGATCTTTGAGAGGGGGGAGGTAAAGGTTAATATGATATTTATAAGAAGGTAAACATTAGATAAAGAGGGGAGAGAAATAATATTTTGGTGGATGAAGATGAACGAGTAAAAGCAGCTGGGTAAAGGAAAGATGAGGGGTATATTTTAAACTTTAATTTAGGAGATGAAGATCAGGCAGAGATATAAATAAAGGGTGTTGGGTTGGGAAATAGGGTAGAGTATTGGTTAAATTGATTAGATATTAATTCAAGGCGCCATCTCATTTCAAGTCTGAGGGTTAACCACCCCCTGGTCAATATTACCCCAGCTTCGAGGGGTTGTTCTTAAATCGGTCCATGTTTGGTCTGTCGTCTTAAAATGTCCAACCAAACAATTTAGCCATGTAGCTTATATTTCTTTTATATACAATTTGGGAAAAAATAATTGAACTATTTTCCAAACGATTTAAAAAAATTAAATGTTATTTTAAATGTCATATGATAGAATTAATGGGTTATGATTGACGAAACAAATAGCACCCTATAATATAATATAAAAATCGGGGCAAAATAGTGGGAACTTTAGTTTATTGCTTAAAAAATATTAATTTTTTGAGGTTTTTTAAAAAAAAAGGGGCGGAATGAACTTCTAAGTATTATATTTAGACTAAATGTGAAGTCGGAATAGAGTCATATAAATAATCAAATGACTGCGCGCCATTTGGTTAATAGAAATATCTGTTCCGTTCATTTTTTTAAAAAATATCACTCAAATTTTTTTTATGATCATTACATTAAAACACACTTTTAATTAAAATTTATTAAATTTTGCTTAAAGTCTGATCCAACTATGTTTATTATATTAATTTATTTTTAATTTATAAAAACAATACTTGAAGGTATCTCTCGAATTTGATGCATATCCAGATGAATTTGATCACCTAAACGAATTACCGAACAAGCTTAAGAAAGATCAAAATTACAATTCCTTTTTACTATTGTCGATGAAAGAATCCTCATTAGTATAATGCCATTTAAAAAAAATATATATTATGTGCAGATCTAACTACATTTCCCTTCCACGGTTCGATATCGATACAAATTTACATCCCCTCCCTGAAATATGTATCAGAGACCTGCAGAGTACCATTTGCACACTGGCCCGGCACTAAAAATTATTCCACCAGGCCCCAATTTTTTCAAAAAATTTTTTTTTAGGTATTGGCCTTTGTAATGTATTTTTAGTAGTAACAATATATCGAAATCTTTTGTAATGTATTTTTAGTAGTCATTAAATTCTTTCATATTTTTATTAAGTATCCAATATCCAAAATAAAAATCATCCTTTATTATTCAAATTCGTAGCAAATTATATAATAATAAAAATAAACATTTTACAAAAAATAATAAAAACAACAATTTAATACATATCAGCCTTGATTTTTTAAAAATATATTTTATTTATTTTTAATTTTTATAGCAGGCCCGGCCCGTATACCCGAGCTGGGCTGACCCTGCAGGTCTCTGATATATATTTTTTTAAAAAGAAACAAGACATGTCGTCGGCTGATTATTATATTGTTCTATATCCCACATATTTATAAATACATCGACAAATCACTTCTTCACAACCGTATGCTTCCATATAGAGTTGTTGTTATAATACTCAGCGTCGACGATGTGTTAATAGTGTCACTTAAAAGAAAAAACAATAGATATCAGTAAACCTTTACCATTTAATGTTTTTAAGAATATTCGCCATATTTTTTTATTTTAAAAAAGTTCTCATGATTATTATCTATGGGCTTAACTGTTTCCTGAAACCTGTTTAGGGTCTTCAAGGTTGGGTGTATTACTATCAGAGGTTTTTGCAAGGGGACCGATATCCTTGGTTATCCTTGACCCTTGTATTTTGCTAAGGCTTTTTATTTATTAAACAAATAATATGATGATTATCCTTTCCTTTTTACCTATTTTATATTTGGTGAGATTTTATATTTATACTAGAACGAAAAATGTTATTTGAATAAATATTTGTTTTAATAAGAATTTATTTTATATTTCAAAACTGATTTTATTTAAGATAACCTTAATATTTTTTATATTTTTAGTTAATATTCTAATATAGTTATTATATAAAGGATATGAAATTATAACAATTTTTCAGATATATTATTTCCGAAATAATAGTAATTCTCTCAAAAACTTTAAAATTAATATGAGATACAGATTACAATAATATTTTTGCACAAAATGTCGTGTTATCTGGTAAGTTTTTCTGGAATAACGATATTTCCGGAAATATCAGGCGAAGATTCGGAACATTTTAACTGTTAAATCTTGCACGAGGGCCTTTTTGAGAAAAAACTTAATTAATAAAAATGTATTCCGACATGTGTTTATGCTCTATGAATTTTCGAACAATTTCACCACGAACTTTTCTGCATTTTTTTTAATTTAAGCGAAAAATTGAGATATAAATTAACATAAGTTTGAGTTTCGGGTTATTTAAATTGAAAAATTTCGAATCATACTTATTCCGAATAAGTTTACCATCATGACAGATATACTATATAAAATCATAACAGGGTTAACCAGTTAATTTAAACACAAACAGAAAATTAATCATTAATTGGTCAAAATTTACTTTACCTTCGAGTAGTGTTATTAAACGGCTCGTTTTGAGCCGATCTTTTAAAACGGCTAACTCAATATTTTACCCAGAAAAATATTGTCTAAACCTCAAGATTTCTTTGATATATGTCTAAACCTTTGTCCCTTCTACAAGCAAAATCTTTGGGCTTGCGTAGTATTCCTCTGGATAAAATATTGAGTTAGCCGTTTTTAAAAATCGGCTCAAAACGAGCCGTTTAACAACACTACCAAAATGGTGCTCAAATTAGACATTCTATTACTTTATATTTGCTTTAAAGAAAAAAAATTTGTTTTAAATACATATTTTTTATCCGGACGGCTAATAATACCTAGCCAAGTTCTAAGCTACATTTATTGATCTTTCTTGATCTGTTAAGAATGAACTTATTTATTTATTTGTAGTATTGTTTAGTTTTAAAGATGATTTTATTTGTGAAGATATTAAAAACTGGTCTCGAAATCACGGAGTTGGAAAGCAGCGGTTTCAATACTCACGCGCAAACCTTGATCGCTGGAAATTTTAACGTTTTGAACACAAACGGCCAAAAAGTGTGCTACATTGTGCAGGTTACTCCCTTCGATGCCAGGCTTCTTTTGGGAGGTAAAATATTACATAAAGTTAATCAAACATACCTCCGTCTTTTATTTACAAGAGACGGGGTGCTATATCTTGAACGGGGCGTGTCTAAAACGGCAAAGGCTTTGACCTTCTCCCTATACCTAAAACGAATTATTTGTTATTCGATATTCGATTCGTATTTTACGAATACGAATAACACAATTATTCGATTCGAAAATTCGAATCGAATTCGAATAAGGAAAATATATTTTTCGTCGAATAATTTTTTATCTATTATTCGATCGAATTATTCGAGATTATTCGACTAAAATAATTTATAGTATTAGTATGTATATATTGGAAAATAATCATATATAAATCACATATTATTATTAGGAATTATTTGAAATTATTTCAATTTAATAAAATCTCCAAGTGGAATAATGAAAATTGCGCCAAATTTTGAAACTCCATTTTAATTTATCTCATAATAGACCATTACTTTAGAAATTCCTTTTATGATAGAGATGGACGAAGAAGGTAATTTATATAACACATAACATATAAAATTATAATAAACTGTTAATTCCATCACATCAAGAATGACGGGCAAACCTGATATTTCTCTTTCATTTGATGATGGAGAAATCATAAATTTGACTTTTTGCCTAAAATTTTTACCACTTTATTTTTAAAATATTGCTAATGCCGTGTTATCTAAAATGGCGAGGGACATATTGTCGATACAGGGATCTTCAACCACATGTGAGCGACTCTTTTCTGTTGGAGCTCATATGGTTACAAAATACAGAATGTCGTTAAAGGAGGAAACAATCCGAAAAACTTTATGTTTGAAAAATTGGCTGTTGTCAGATTTATCTACATTATAGATATGAATATTATATTGATTTTTCCACATTGTATATATATATATTATATATGTATGCTTCTATTTTGTCTCACTAATAAAATTTGTTTGTCTTTATCCTTAGTTAAATTTGACAAAATAAATTTTATAATAGATCTTTTTTAATTCATGGTAAATAAAATTTTCGAATCGAATCGAATATTCGACGAATCGAATAATCATTTTATTATTCATACGAATACGAATAATAAATTATTCGATTTAAACGAATACGAATAATTCTATTATTCGATTCGTATTTTTGTAGGTATACTTCTCCCTTAAATAAAGCTTAGCTATAAAAGAAATGACTACAATTTTTTTTTATTATACACAATCACGTAATGAAAGATATTTTGATACAAAACTTGTCCTTTGACGCCCTCCAAATACCTGGGAGTCCCATAGTTTCCGCATATATATGCGATCCTTACATACTGTTGTTAGGTGAGAGCAGTCAATTGACCTTGCTTACCCTGAATCACAGAACCATAGAGGTATCGGAACACCCCTGCCTTCAAGTTATCAATGAGTCGGCTTCCAAAGTATATCAGGTTAATGAATTTCTTATTTTTTAAACTGTAATGCATAACTCCCCTTCCCCACATAACCTCCTCACCTCGACCCCTGACTCAATTTAATATGTTTTCCCCTAAATTTTAATAATTAAGGCAGCGTTGCTAACGCTTCTTCTTTTTAAACAGAACCTAATTTCCTGTTTCTAACATTCTCAAAACGAATTAGTTTCTGCTTTCTTAATGTACAACCACTTTCACCTCGAAGGTGGGGGAATTTTCATTGAAATAAAATATGGGAAAGGAGGGTACAATAAAATCAAAGTAATATCGTCATTTGCTTGATGGGGGTTCACGAATAAATATTAAGAATATGTTTTAATTCTTATGACAGAAACCTCCCATAATTGCCCTTTGCTTGCACCGAGATCATTCCGATATTTTTTTGTATCACGACAAACCCGAAACCTATATGAACGACGCTAGCCAAAATAAGGATATTCTCTCTAAGACCCAAGCGAACACCGATAAATCTAAAAATAATATGGCGGCTAGTAACGCGGAACCGTCCAAAAAATACGCAAAAACCGCCGATAAAAGTGTCCACGAGGCAAAAAAATTATCGAGTTTGCCACGCATCAAGATTGAAAAAGAGTTGTTAATTATTTGACTTAATTTTATATTTTTTTTTGAGTTTTTCCTTGGTTCCCTTTATCTCCTTCCTTTTTAGAATCATATTCATATTTCTTTGGGTGACTGTGGAAAGAATCCAGCTAAGTCATCTGTCTTTTTTTTTATTACTTGTGTCCTAATTTTCTTGATATTGAGTTGAAAAAGTTAGTATACACTCAATTTTAAAAAATTAATCACACACACATAAGTTGCTTATTTTTGCCCAACCCCCTAGAAGGCCTTGATGTTGAGTTTTAAAATGTTCCTTAACCCACTCCGATGTCTAGTAGTTTAAGACTTTAATTTATTGACCCAACCTACTACCATTTTTGCTAAGATATGCACTGCATTTAAAATATTATTATTTGATTAAATCAAGCTATTTTGTATATATTTACTTACTTACACTACACATAATTATTTTCCCTACACTCTTGACACCTGACTAATGTATTTTATTATATATAACATTAGACTTTTATTCTTTTATTTTAAGTCTCGAACCGAAGCCTAAGGTAAATGAAGAATATATGGACGAAGATGAGTTGCTGTACGGAACCAAATTAGTGCCGGAAGAAATTACTAAAGGTTCAGAAATAAAAAAGGAACAGATTCGCGAAGATTTCTTAATTAACGATCTCCAAGACGATATTTTTAACGAGTAACAAAAAATCAAATCGATTATTATAAAATAGTAAACGGTTGAAGAAATGTCATTTTTTTTGAAAATTCGTTATATTTAAACAAATTAACATCTGAAAAACTTTACTTTAGGCCACGTTCAAAATCTTTTTTAAAAAAAATTCAAATTGTTATAAAACTTTCAAAAGGTTTAAAAATTTTAATAAAATCGTATTTAAAATTTAAAAAATTTTTTTAAAACCTTCTAGAATTATATTTTGGGAAGAAGCTTATAAATTTTTTTTTCCCATAAAGTTTTTAAAAGTTTGCGAGTATTTTATGATATTTTGGAATTAGCGTTAAGAAAAAAATGGACCAATTTTTTTACGAATTTAATTTTTTTTTATCTTTAGTGAATCGAATCTTAAATCTTTCGTTGAATGTTACAATACGACCTCAAAACAAAAGCCCTATCAAAATCCTACCTTTTGGGCCTTAGTTTCTAGGATGAATGGACAGTTAGAAGTATGTTTTTAATAAACTTTGATGTCAAATACTCATATTTATATTTTTTGAGGTAATCTTAAGGTGTATTAGAGCCCTGTAGAGGGATTTTTTTCGCAGCCCGAGCCCGAATTTAAGAAAATGCCGTGCCCGACCTGAGCACAAAATTTTTGTTCGAGCCCTACCCGAGCCCGACTAATATTTTTTTAGAAAATTTTAGTTTAAATATTATAATATCTAAGCAAAAATTAAAAATTTTGTGTTATCACATAAAATTGTTAATTTGGGAAATGGAAATTACAAGATGAAAAATATGTGTCTGACATTTTGATGAAACAAAATGATTATTCTTCAATGTCCGAGTGTCGGCTCGGGCTTTGGACAGCCCGTGCAGGGTTTTAGGTGTATTTTCCTTGTGTAAAAAGATCGGTTGAAGATCAAAATGTTCTTTTTTTGGATGATCACTTTACATCTATAATTAACTTCTATAAATTAAAGGTAAGTAGCTAAATCATGATTGGTTAGCCGATACTAAAATTAATGGTTAATAAAATAAATGGTTCGAGTTTACACTCGTAATTAATAAAACGATATAAACCTAACTAACTTTGTATAATATGTTTTGTTGAAATAAATAGGGTTAGATCAAAAAAAATTTCTAAGCTATCCGTGCAGTAAATGAACGCCTTTTCTATATATTTTTTGTTTATCGACCAGTCATTTCTTAGCAGACTATTTTATATGTATCAAGATACATTTTGGACTCTGTATAAAGATACGCTTGAAAGGTATCTTTTGACTGGTAAATACTATCTAACTTTTTATGTTATCTTTATATAAAACATTTTGATTGTTTTTAATAAAATAAAATTAGATATACAGTGTCCCCTCTTTTGTACTCAGGTATCACATTCATAATTTTCACCTCAAAATGGATATCTTAAGCGATGAGGATCTCTTCAATCGTGAAACCAGGTAATTATGATTTTGTAAATCAATTTGCTAACAATAATTTTTTAAAATGTTTATTATATAATCAAAGTTTAGGAGGGGGGGGGGTGTTTGAGCGGCAAAATTTTTTTTGTAGATCCATAATATGAAAGAAAAAAAAAATGTATATAAGAATTTATAACATATATAAGAAACCATAGTCTAATAATATAAGTTAATGTTTTTTTAAAAAATCATTAAATTCAACACATAAAATGATAATTGAATTTGAAATAATCTAAATATAAAAAAAAAGATTTCTCTGGGATATGTCATGCGCAACCTCATTTCCCTCTAATAAAAATTCTGGCCTTTTGGAACTTCAAGAAATTAAAAAATGCAATAAATATAGGTCCCTTTTAAATTCTTTTATTTTTATCCCTTTAATCGATATTTGGTCCCCAATGAGCCAGAAAATTTCAATAAGGACTGGGGAAAAACGAGTCTTTTTCCTTCAAACAAAAAACTCAAATTGAAAGGAAATTTTCAGTTTTTCTTTGAATCACCTCCTTATCCTCATTAGTTCCTTTAAACATAGAAACCCCCACCTCTTATTTTATTTATTAATAATAAAGTTAACGACTAATAAACTTCCTATTTTTTTTTAAAACATGTTTGATTTTAACGTTTTCATTTTTCATACTTTCTTACATTGCATTTTGAATTTATTTTATAATCTAAAAATTATAAATAAATGCCCTATATTTTTTAAAAAAAAACATTATATTCTTGTTTAAAATTAGTGATTCAATTTTAATATTTGTAATTGTTTATTAAAAATTTATATTTTGATTCTTTTAAACTTAATAATAATTTTATGTGTCGAATTTAAAGATTCTTGTAAATTTTTACCTAAATTCATTAAAAATATGCATAAAAATCACAAGAGATTTACTTATAAAAAAAATTTGGAATTTTAGGTTAAAATTTGATAAAAAATTTATATACAAACTATGTATTCACGTAAGGAAACGAACAAATTATAGCCTTTTTTTTCTGTACGAAAAGAATTCACACGCTCCTCCTTTCCCTAAATTTTTTCGATATCCCCAGTTTCCCTCTCAATTTAACTGTAATAATGACCTAACTCTAAAAAAGTGTAGAGAATTTTTTACATTCTATATAATATTGTACTTTAAAAAACCTCGGGCAATCCCTCTACTTTAAAAGTAATGCCGTGAACCGTCTCGTTGGAGGAGAAGTTATTATCGATGAACTATTGTTGCATTGTCTTAAAATATCTTTGCATTGTCACATTTACAGGGCGAATAAGTATGAAGAGCTATCACGGAAAAGGGGTAAAAGAGGCGATAGACAATTGCAATCCGATGACGATACTAAACAAAATTTGCTGGATTCGTATCTCGTGAGAGAAATATCGGTGGTGAATATAAAATATAAAAGGCCGGTAGTATCCCAGAAGTCAGAGGGATACCCTTTAAACGAAGAAGACGATTGGTCTAACCCTAATTCTGAAGAGTTTAATCATTTGATATTGAACTTTGTTATTTAAAAAAAATATAAGTTAAACCAATGACATATAATACGTACCTTAGACTGACATTCCATTAATTAGAAATGCAACTTGAAGCATCGCTGAATAAAAATCAGCTGGTGACATGTTTCATATAACAGTTTTTTTACAAAAATTTAATATATTATTTATATTGGAAACCAAAATGGCCTGGTATCTGCTGATTTGTATTGATAAACATTTATATTAACGAATCGTGGGTCTAGTATTATGTCATTGATTAAATATACTGTCATGCTAAACCATGCCATATTTAAGATTTTGAACCTTAATGTTTATTTATTTTTAAACGAATCACAAACGCCTAGATCTTATACCACGATAGTCAAACCCTACCTATTAGCCCTTATCAACGAAACGTTAGTTATTTATCAAATCTACCCTTATCCTAACCCTAACAATAATTCGAAAAATGGAGTCACTATTAACGCGCGCGATGATGGCCATTTAGAAATGGGGAAGCATGATTCAATAAGCAATATATTGATCAATTCCGATATTCGTCAATTATCTAAACGATTAAATTTGCGATTCAGAAAAGTTTAGTGTAGATAGACGATTGCCTAAAAAAATAAAATAAATAATGCTAATTAAAAAACCACGTATTAAGTAGATTATATAATATATTTGAAAATTATGATAAAAATAAGTAAAAATTTGGTACAGTGGTTTGTAGAAAAAGAGGAGAAATGAACAATCTTAAATAATGAAAATTATGTAGAAAGAAAGACTTTAGCATTGCAGGCTGTTAAAAAAAATTATCAATAAGAATCAGGGTCTGGAAATATAAATCGACTTGATTTACATCACCAAAGAGTTGATTTAAGAATTGAACATTCTGTATTATCACCGGCAAAATTTCTATTAGGATTTTTACCTCTCATGGTTATAGACATTAGTTAATATGAAATGCGAAAACATTATTTTGCTAAACTTTTCAGAATACGGTTTTATGTGTTTACTTATTACCAGACATGCCAGCCATTTTTCGACAACTTAAAAGATTTTCCATTTTTTTTGAGGCTGTAATTATTAACATTTTTTGTAAATTATGTTGTCAATATTTTGTTGGGTTTCTATTTTACATAGTATATTGGCCATTGACTTGTGTTCTATCTAACCTAACTAGGAACCCTTCATGGTAGAAGCAATAGAAAAGTGATTATTTCTTATAAATAATTTTATATATGCTACTTAACACTTTACCTCTAAATCATTGCCCGATCTATGAGTTAGAGTATTTCCTTAAGAATTTGCACTAATAAGTAATTCTCATTCTCAAAACATTTTATGTAATATTCTAGACTAAGCTCTAAACCGTACAAATTAAAATTCTTTTATGTATTTTAATAAAGAGGAAGAGGTCTATCTTTAATATGAAAAAAAATATCACATAAATAAGAAGGCATAAAAATTTTATACATAAATTCCTGCTTTTGAAACTTTGATCATATAAAATCCAGCTCTTTTTTTTAAAAAATATAATAAAAAAATAGATAAATAATTTTAAATACATCCTGATAAGGAACAATTATTAAAGATTAATTTTTTTTTTTGAAAAATATACAGATCGAACATAATATGTTATTGGGAGAACGAAAAGCCGCGAAATCTCTGCCTAAAAAGGACGCGTTCTACCGTTTATCTAACGTTTTAAGATCTACTCCATCTATACGAAATTACGATAATATCAATTCCACACAAGGGGTTTGCCATTTACGTTACAGACGAGGGGAATAAGAAATTAATTTATTGTATATCATATCATATTGCGTCTCTTTTTCACAATATATTCCGTCTCTTTTTCACAATATATTGCGTCTCTTTTTCACAATATAAATTAGATATTATTGTACAAGGGCACTTATGATACAGAAAAGTGATTACTATGAGTTTAAAAAGGAGAAATATATGACTGATAAACAATACGTAATATTCCCCCCCCCCCCCCAAAAAAAAAATGATACAGATAACTATATTGATATCAAATTTATAGATAAACATAATAATTCAATATATACAAAGATATTCCGATAATATAATATGATGGGTGGTAAATTTAAAGAAACCTCTTTAAATTTTACACTTAATAATTATATAATCTATGACACGTAGGATATTTTTTTTTAGAATTTATAAATGTTGTACATATCTTGTGTTATATTATGTTTCTCCCATTTGCATCTATCAAAGATATTTATACAAGGCCTCCTGCCTCAATGGATAATCCCCGGCCAGCACGGAGACCTTAAAATACACCCCATGGCTATAGACGGACCCATCTACGCGTTCACGCCTTTTCACAACGTTAATTGTCATCGGGGCTTTTTGTATTTTAATCACAAGGTTTTTTTTTGGAATTTAAAGTTTATTTATTTTGAATTGAATTATATAAGCTCAACATGAATTAAGTGTAGTTAAACTTTCTTACCAGATGTTATAAAATGAATGAAAGATCTTAGGAAAATTTTTCTTAAATAATCAAGCGTCCAATTTAAAATCTTTTCATTGGCGTAACCAAGGGCTCGAGAGCGGGTTAGTAAAAATCACCCCTTCCCCCAAATTCTCCATCTCCTTGTCCTCTCCTCCAAAAAATGAATACAATTTCATATAATTAAAATTTTTCAGAAAAAAAGAAGCATAAAACCAAAACTAAAAAAAAATGTAATTCACCCCCCCCCCCCCCCTAAAAAAAATATAATTTTGGATACACGTCTACGAGTCTTTCCGTAGTAATGTGATACATACGTGCCATGAGAATAAGATGTGATTTAGTATTTTTCATCTTTGCTGCTTGAATAATTATTAGTCTTCCATTTGTTTGCCACTTTTTGAGAAAAATATTGATGAGAATTGTATTAATTTCAAAAAAAAATTCTTTTATAATGTGGATAGGGATAGAGAATCTGAGAGTAGTGTCGTTAAACGGATCGAATTAAACAGCACTCTCTGTTGGAAGATTTGTCTATCTTAATGAGTAACCGGTCCTAGTAGTTTAATACCATTAACATAAATAAATAATAATATTATATTTAATTGTATTCATTTTGTTGTGACGGCCTTGCTGCTTAAATTATTATTTTTAAAATAGTTTCTTTTGTATAAGATTCTTTCTATTTACATATCGTTTTTTAGGACGAACTTAGAGTCTGCTTGCTGCCTACTCACCTTAAATACGATCAAGATTGGCTGACCAGAAAAATCCCAATAGGAGCCACAGTTCATTTCGTAGAATTTCACATCAAAATGAAGGTTCCTTTTTATACTTACTTTCCTCGATTTTCTTCATCATTCCCTTTCTTTTAACACTAACATATGTTATATTTAAAAAAAATTTATTCGAAATATTCGTTTAAAAGGTGTACGTCCTTATAACCAGTCGCAGGACCCGAGCCACACGATTAGTTAAGCACCTCGCTTCTAATTACCGCGATCAACGCCCACTCATGTTAGACGATGGTCTACTACACCCAGAGATGGATCAACAGCAACTAACGACTGAAGATTGTTTAAAAAAAATTTAAATTATAATTAGGGGGTTATGTTATTAAATTAGAATTTCATTAGATCAAATTGGTATTGGTATAGTATAAATAATAACCAATATATCTTTAATACATTGAATAAGGGTTTCTAACTCTGCATTTGACCGGTTTTTAACAGGTTTGGCACGGTTTAATCCTACTACTTCTAACCGACCCGACTTGGCAGATTTGGGTATAACACCTGTCTCAGAAAATTTTTAACATTTCTGAAGTGTAGAGGCTTCTGTTATGGGTAGAATGGTCGGTGGCACATCTCGATGATTTTTTGTATGCGTCATTTAAGGTTAATAAAAGCAACTACAAATTAAGTTTTAAATTTTATTTAATTTTAAAACCAAAAAAATATTTTCTATAATATAAAAATTTGTCCCTTATATAGGAAAAATAAAACTCGCAATTATAAAATAAAATTGGCGCAAAGTGAAAAAAAGAACGTTTTTCAAAACGGAGTTGTGTTAGTTTTATCTTACATAATTAGGGATAAAACCTACCCCCTTACTTTCCGAAACTCTAATTATTTCACTGGATGCAGAGCGGTCTCCCGGACCTCAATATCTAACTTTTATTTACCGAACACCCTTTCAAAGACTCCAAAATTAAGTAAAACCCCTAAGTAAAAAGAAACCATATGTTAATTTTAAATATACTTAATTCAAAACAAAAGAAAAACTTTATTTAATTTTTATGCATTTACAATAAGACAAAAGAAGGTCAAAAGAAAAACTTAATTTAATTTTATGTATTTGCGACAAAAAAAAAGGAAGGGCCAAAAGGGAAAAATAAAACTTTATTTAATATTTTTTGGTATTGCAGAAAACCATAGGGGGGGGGGGGGTCTAACTATTTATAACAATTTCTTAACTTAAAGAGATTATATTAATTAAGAATATCGTAAGACTTACTTAAAAGATAACTTAATGCAATTATTTAATGTGTTAATCCTACAAACATATGACATAACAAAAGATACCTCAATTTTATATTTTTAATACTTTGAAATCTTAGTTTTCAGGTCGACCTTACTTAAAATATGGGTTACTTGAGCTTGGCATGAGCTCCATTCATGGCAGATTATCAAGATGATTTAATTAGACACAATCATTTTCCCATATAGTTAGTTTTATCAACAAACACTTTTTATAAGTCCAATAAATATATTTTATTATTTTTTTTGCGCCAACAAAATTATCTCGAAGTTTTATCGGGGGAGGAAAAGGAAATAGAAGATATCGATTCAGATCCTTATTTTCCGGCCCCACCATTAGACGAATTCTCGGTCGATTTAGTCTGCCCCGGTAGCTGGGAGATGGTCCCTTCCGCTAGGTTTTAGATAATAATTAATATTCCTTAACCCAAATATATATATATTTTTTGTTAAATGTTCTAGATTTTAAATCCATATATAAGTGTACCATAGTTATTCTTTTATAAAACCAGACTAGGCGTTGAAAATTCGGTTATTCTTTGAATATAATATCAAAAATATAAAAATTTAAAGGCGAACAAAAATTTAAATTACAAAAAAAAAGAAATTATCTTTAGCTTCATAACCGTTTTTCAATTATTTTTCATTTGTGGTTTTGTTATGTTTTTTTTATCATATCGCTAAAAGAATAGTCTTACTTAGGATTAGAAATAAAATATTTTTAAAAAAAAACTTAAAAACGATGGGCAGGCAGAACATGATTAAAAATAATTTCGATAAAGATTTCAATTTTTTTTTGCGACGTTCTTTTGGTTAATCTCATTTCGAATATTCTAAATTATAATATTTTATTTGAATTACTTAATCTTTATAAAGAACACCAAAAAGTTAAATAAAATCGGAGTAGAGAAATGACCACATACATCATTATTTTTTTCAATATCTAATAGGTTAGACATAGATTCCGAATGGGAACGAATAACAAGTTTCAAACAGGTGTCCCTGATATCCCAGGGATCGATAACTGGATTTAAGGATTTTTTAGTCGTAGGTACCTCTTGCGTTTATGGCGAAGATATGACGTGCCGCGGACGGGTAATTTTTTTAAATAAAAAAAAACCTCTATATTAACCATGGAATTTTTAATTGTAGTAAAATATTGTTGAAATCAGCTGTTTGTACAAAATTTTTTTTAATGCAGATTATTTATTAACTAAATATATATTTTTTTGAAAATAAATATATGAAAAATACCAAAAGTTGTTCATATTAGACATCATAGAAGTAGTTCCAGAACCCGGACAACCTTTGACGAAGTACAAAATAAAAGTCGTATGTTCGAACGAGCAAAAGGGGCCCGTTCTAGCGTTAGCCGCCATTTCCGGAAATTTAGTGACCGTTATTGGGCAGAAAGTAATGTGTATAAATTATAATCGACCTATCAATTTGTGAATTAATGTTTTTTTAAATACAAAGTGTTTACTAGTTTTAGTAGTGTACTGGCATTTGTATAAGTAATTCATAAAGTTTAGCTAGAAATTCTTAGCTAATTTTATTAAGCTGGGATGGGGTATCAAATCAACATATGAAACCATAGATTGAAAAATTTTTGAAAGATTTATTTTTTGTAGAACAGAAATTTTTGAATCTAATTTTACCTAAAAATGCCAAATTTTTTTATCAATACATCTTTTGTTTTCATGCATAAAGAATTTTTCAAGAAGAATTCATAAATATTTTGAAGATTTTTTTTCCTCTAAGAAAAATATAAGAAATAATTATGAATAAAATTATTTTTATAACTTGGGGAAACTTATCATATCCTCCCGAAATGTTATCTATCGCTTGTTAGTGCGGACTGCATGTAGATCACGTCATTATAGCTCAATATTTTGTATTTATTATTTCCCTAGATTTACATATGGGCCCTGAACAAAAGCGACGATCTCGTGGGACTGGCCTTTATAGACACCTCATTTTGCGTTCACACGATCGCTATCGTCAAAAATCTGATAATAATAGGCGACCTGCATAAAAGTGTCACCTTCCTTCGCTACGACACCGACACCAAATCTATTTCCATTGCAAGCAGGGTTATCATTTTATACTCTCATTTTAAAAAACTTATTATTTTTTGCGTTGGTCGGGTTTTCTAAGGCACCTCGTGGACCGTATTAATAATGATAAAAACAAACATTATATTTGTTATAGGGCATTTATGGTAGAATAATTTTAGGTTATCACTGATTCCACTAAATAATTGGTTTTGTTTTCAAAAAAAGGTTCATTAATTAGTTCATAGCATAACGAAAGGATAATTCAGGTTGGAGGCCTATGCGGAAACCAGCCCGTGGAAATTTTCTTTTCTATCAGGTTTTCGGCCCGACCCGTAATATATATTTGTACATGTTGTCTGGTCCGACCCAAAAATCGTTTCCCATGGCTGCCTCGACCTCAGATATTTCTTTCAACCATAAAATTGGATTTATTTTAAAGGATATTAAAAATGTTAGATAATAAGGAAGAGGCTATGAATATGAGAGATTAAATTTCTGAAGGCATTGAGGAAAAGAGGATGGGGGGAGGGATTATCATGGATATATTTGTCATACGTTTAATCTAGGAAATGTGTCGACGTTGTCGTTCTAAGTGTGGTTGGGTAATGGCTAATTCGGCTCAATCATCAGGCGCCTGCCGGAGAAAATCCACTAATATAGCGTTTTAATTTATATTATTCTTCCTGATTTAAATTGCTATCTATTTTTAAAAAAACCCCGAGGCCCAAGTGATATTTTTCGGCGAAAAGCTTTGCTAATAATTGGCTAAATCGGTTAAAAATATAGTAATTACATAACTATATCATTCCACATCTCGCAATCATTCATTGCATTAAATTGTCTTTAACCCGACGACATATCTAAGTTACTGACGATGTCCATATCAAACTTTATACCATGTATGTGTGTGTTTTTCTTAAAATATGATTTTGCCCGAAATGTCTTTCAATATGTGTAGAATGAATACCTGCCCCAATAGTTTTTATAGAATATTCCACCTTTTGACTAAGGCGATACATATAATTGCCTGATTATAGACATGCCGCTACATATATCTTACATCATTTCAAAGCTCGAATCTAGAAGTTTTTTAATCTTAAGGAAGAACCTGGTCTTTTGAATTGTGTGTTGATCATTGCTAGTTGTCACATCATTTATTTCGATTGTTTAATAAAATCTAGAGGTTATTGCAGAAGTTCGAGCTCGGCCTGCATTTTCTTACCCGACCCATATTTTTTTTTTGAAAGCTTATTATTTTTGCCGGCCTGGCTAAGATTTAAAATTTTTTTGTCATTCTAAAAAAATTTAAATATGAAGCTAACGAGTATATAAATAATCAAATCACGTGATTTTTATAGTACTGACCAGGGTAACCCGGACCCTTGGTAAGGTCTTCAGTCTTGAGTTTATTCTTAAAAAAAAAATTTTTTTTTAAATTAAAAGAACGTTTATTTTATTGATTTATAGGAATACTCTCATTTATCAGTATACGGTATACAATTCATTGTCGATAATGAAAAATTGGGATTCATCGGTATTTAAAATAATATTCAGTAAAAGTAGATTGCCTGCCCGCTTATCAGGTTTCCGCTTTCGGCTTTTAGATTTTGCGTAACAGAAATCGTATACTTAATTTTTTTTTAAAAATAAAATTTTAACATTTGCCGTAGTTAATGCTTTCAAAATTTAATTTCTGGTCTCTCCCGAGAAACTTTATAGGCCGGTTGCTGCAATGTATTAATATATTTTGAATCGATTTTAGTTATTTTAAATTATGGCAACGATGAAAGAAAGAGAGAAAGGAGTTGGGTATATAAGCCGGCATATTTAGTCTCCTTATTCTAATTTTATTTTATTATTCTCTAGATTTATCAATCAATTTCTAAATTAGATATCGTTGCCTGAGAATTAGATTATTCCATCTTAACTTTTTGTAAGGAGCAATTTTAAAAATTAAGTTTCTATTGATTTCAATTTGACTTTGTATAAATTTTTTTTAATATGTGTCTTATTTTAATTTAAAAACGATTACAATTTATAAAATAAGATATCACATATAAACTATATAAAATTAAAAAATATTTTTTAAAAAATAAAAAGAATTATAAAATATTGATTTATGTAAAAAAAATAATGACAAAAAGTGGATATGGAATGATCTAATTATTGGGTAACGATATATCAAAATTCAGTTAATTTACATAAAAACATAAACTATAATTGCATTCTAATATGTGTAATATCTAAGTATAAAATCAAGTTAACACACGAAATTATTAGCTAACAACCCCGCAGAAAAATAAAGTAATTTTATTATTTAAAATATTACCGTCTCTATTTTTTTTTGAAATATTTTCCTAAAACTTGGGCGATAAAACGACTCAGCCTCCGACAGACAAAAAAATATAGCCATATTCGCTTACCAACCTCAAGTTAGGGAGAGTTACGGCGGCCAAAAACTAGTTAGGAAAGGGGATATAAACGTTGGAACATTCATTTCTTCCTTTTTCCGGATTTTTTGCAAACGGAAGGATCCAACGTCCGATAAGAAACCCAGTTTAGCCCTGGAAAGGAGACAAGCCACCTTTTTTGGTATTCTTCTTTTTTGTTCTCTTAAATTATTTTTATTTAAAGTATCGTTAAACGGCCTGATTTGGCCAATTTTAAATTAAGATCAAAATAATATAACCCAAGCCTCGAGATATCGCTAATAGATTGTTCAAACCTTTTTCTGCTATCTATAAACAAAACCTCTAGACTTATGTAAAAAATTTTTTGGCTAAATTATTGTTTTACCCGTTTTTAAAAATCGAGCCGTTTAACAACCACTAATTTTGAATATTTTAAAATTCTAAAAATAAATATTTTATTTAAATTGAAATGTATTTATTCATATCATTTGCATTTTTCTCCACCCACTGTGTGAAATTGCCTTAAAAATACAAAAAAACGGGAAAATATATGCGAAAATTAACGATGCCACCAAATATTTTAAACAAACCAAAATAGGGTTGCCTTAGTTCAAACGCCTTTTAGTCCAGTCTAAACAGCAATTAAGAATCAGAATTAAGGCGACGCTATCAAAAGCATAGCGTAGATGTAAAAATAAAAAGAAACTGTAAAATATCTGCCCTTGATTATAAGTAAAATCTGGATTGGACCATCCGCTTATCGAGATATAAAATCGAATATATCAGGCTTTTATACCAGTAGTCACTAACACCCTCGAGGTATTAGGAAAGGAGGCTCTCTATTTTATCAAAGCCATCGGCAAAAAAAAGACCATTTCCGATCTAGTTTTTTTAAAGATTCACTCCTCCCAAGGGTGACATGTTACCTTTTTAAAAAAATTATTAAAATTTTTTTTTTACATATATATTTTTTGAATTGATCATTTGAAAGTTGAACATAAAATGAAATTTATCATTCACATAAATTAAACACTTTAAAATTTTTTTAACAATTAATTACGTTATGCTATCAATTGAACAAAAATATAAGCGAAAATTTGACATGACCAATTTTTTTTACAACAGTTACTGGTCTTAGTTACATTTGCTTAGATTTTGATAAAAATTGGAGACTAGGATTCTAAATTTGAACACTGCTTTACCCCTCATACACAGTTAGCACGATTTCGTGGCAAATTATGCAAAATATGATTTTTTGTATTCTTTACCGCGAATTCACGATATCTGTCAATGCAGGGTTCTTAATTTTGTATAAAAAATTAGACCGAACTCTCAAGGGATCCAAAGATTTATAATTGATTTGACATAAAAAATCATTAATAAATAAAATGTTTATATTACTAAAAAAATTTCAGAAAATTTTTAATGTAAATTATTTATACGGGAAATCAAACGGCATGCCACCAGATGATTTGTAGTGATACACATTTAAATGAATGAGTAGTCAGTTATGTCATTGTAATTAGTATTATAATGTGCTCTTAGAAAACATGACAGAATTATGTGATGGATAATATCAATATAAATCAGTGACTTGTAGACCCTAAGCCGGACACCGGTACACGGGTGGTCTTATTATAAATTTTTTTTGAATTCCCGGGAGGGCCTAAAAAATGTTTATTTTTAAAGACTCGGACCGAGCCTAAAAAAAATTTTTTAAAACCCAGGCAAGCCGAATATTTTAAATAGCCATTATTATCTTTAAAAATTAAAAAATCGGAGCGGAGTCTTGCAATTCCTTTGCCGTTCTCTGATATAGATTCAATTTCTACCTTTTGAGAGAAAATATCATGTAAATTTCAAATAATTTTTTTTATAAAAACAACTTATATTTATATTTTTCTAGTGGGACTTGATGGCAGGATAGGATATCTCTTACCCATAAGCGAAAAATTGTACAGGAGATTATTGATGGTTCAAAGCTTTTTAGATTCAAATACTTTTTACAGAGCTGGGCTAAATCCAAAATTAGCCAGGTAGCCCAAATTAAAAATGCCTAAATTTTCAATTATTTTTGCTTTACTTTTTAACATTGTTCAATTTGATTCACTGAGGCAAATTTTAAATGACAAAAAAATTATAATGTGATGATTATATAATTTTAAAGGAAAGAAATATATATAACAATTTTAATTTATTATTTAACAATATTGAATAATAAGGGGCTTCCAATTTTCGCGCCAACAATTGGTCAATCCCGCCAAAAGTATATTAGACGGTAACCTACTATTTCAATTTTTGCATATGAACGCCCTTCAGCAAGAATTAGTGGTTAAAAATGTCGGCGTTTCTTTGGATCAAGTAAAGCATTTCTATAACTTTAAAAAAAGTCGTATTCCTATTTTATTTATGGTCCCGAATGAAGCTTTGCGCGGAGTTGCTCAAACCGTGGTTGGATCTGACTTATTTTATTTTGGATCAGAACCGAAATTTAAAAAGGTCGGATGCAAGGCTTTATGTACCTAAAAATTTAACAAATGTGAACTTTAATTATACAAGATAATTTCAAAAAATTATCAATTTAACTAATTTATAAATTTAAATTATATTTTATCATTTTTTAAGTGCCCTGAATTGTTCTATTTTATTAAATATTTTAGATAATAATGATTATTTTTTAAATATTTTATCAATATAAACCTAATTATTTTTTCCATAACTAATTATTTAGATTATAGACGATTTCCTGGAAATCGATAGAACTACCAGTCATTTGTAAATATAATTAAACTTTTTTATATACCTTGAATTATAATATTATTATTATGTATATAACCAATAAGTAAATATAAATTATATTTTTTATAAATCTAAATATAGATAGTTGCATATATTATGTAAATGTATTTATTATAAATAGAAAAACTTCGATTAAAATTTTGTTCGATAATATCAACATTACTATTTAAAAAAATAGAATCTTTGGCAAGCAGTGGCTTGTATAAAGGACTCGTTTTGGTTATGAGATGAGGTGAGTTCATGAAGTAACAAATATGTAAATGTTGTGATTTTCAGTTTTAATGATTAAGACAAACTCCTTTCACATTAAATTCATTTATAAATTTTGTTTTAGTAAAAATATTTTATTACATGATTTCCTCCTGGATATATAAAAAAGTAGTTCACATTCCATTCTCATATCGCGCCACTCATTCATTTAGGTTTGTCCGTTTAAAATCAACTATAAAAAAAATCCTCGTCAAAAGGTGTGAAATAAATATTTCATTGATTCGATTGAACAACCTATTCCATAATTGAGAATAAAGCTAACTTTACCAAAGCCCAAGAGTAGTTTATATTGAATTTATTTAACTATATCAAAATTATTGGTCTAATCAGTTAGAAGAAAAAGGCTTAATTTAGTGCGAAAACAAAAGCTATAATATATACCATTATAAAGGCAAACGCTATATCGGCCCTCACGGGAGAGGGGAGGGGTCATTAAAATTTTGGATACGCCACTGCTGCTAAGTATCATACTTAACATTATAATTATCAAAAATTATCAACTGTCAATTAACATTTTAAAAAATCTTATTATTTTTTAATATGTACCCTACATAATCAATAATGTATTTAGATGCAGCTATCCCAAGTTTTGTTGCTAACGAAAATGTATTTCAGTTTTTGAGTGTTTTTTTAAAAGAAGGTAGAATTTATAAATCATTAGTACTTCCTGGGGATGGAGCAAATTGTGATTAGCAGCCCCTTAAATTTGCTATTTACAGGTCTTAAAAATATTTCCTATCGGAGTAAAAAAACATTTTTTTAAGGACTTATTAGCAGACCTAAGTTGCATCTTAGCTCTTCTAAATAGCTTTCTGAATAGAATATGATTTTTGAAGACTAAAAAATTAAATTAAGCACAATTAACCTATTTTAAAGGCAATGTCAAAATTTACATAATATTTTTTTAAAAAAACCCCAAAAGAGTGCCTAAATTTAATGCTCTAATCAGAATTAAAAACAAAAGTTAATTAAGAGCCTGACTTATTAGCTAGTTAGCCTAAATAATAACTATCGAAGAGATGCTCTTGGTTTAGGGTGAGGTAATTACTCTATTTTTAGGCAGCTAAAAATGTGTTAAATCTTTTTTTTCCTAGGAAATAACACAGTCTCAGGATTTTTTTTTAAAATGTGGTTTAATTTTTCACTTCATTGCTTAGCCTATTTTCGTCCGCCAGGCGCCTGTGGATTAAATCTGATTAGATGATTTTTAATCTTTACCCAATTATAAGTGAGTTTAAAAAAACGTAAAGTTTTCTTGACAATACATTTCACCCGCATTATTTTTTTTTAAAATAAGTTATAACTATTTTCTATATATTTAATAATTCATTTTATTATGCTCGTAATTTTGCGTTATATTTAAAATATATAATTTTCTATAGTTTATAAGTTAAAATAAATTATTCGTTTTAATAAATATGATTAAATATTGAGCATTTGTTTACGTAAAACATAAAATATACTTACTTTTTTCAGTTATTTATTTCATATTAATGATGTTGGGTATATCAACGTTACTATAAGAACGATGATTTTTGGCATCTTTAGGCTTTAACAATGTTGAAAATTTTGTCAAAAATTTGGCATTCTTTGTTGAGAATTTACTATTTGTCTCGGAGATGTTATTAGCTTTGGACGATGATTTTTTATTGATTTGGCTTGGTGTGGGAGGATTAGTTTTTTGGTGGGGAACATCGTTACCACTTTTTTTCTTAAAAGTGGTTTTATCATCCAATAAGCGGTTTAAAAAAGACCGAGACCTTTCTAACTTGTTCGATATTTGAGTACCGTTCAAACGTATTTCTGGTATGCCACTTTCTACTACCTTTTGATTATTTATAAACGAATGGGGGTTCGAGGGTGATAAAGGAAACCTTGGACATTTTAAAGGTGCGCGGGGAATCGAAATGTTACCCATATTCTTCTCATTATCAATCATGGTTATATTAGTTGATTGGGGGGCATCGTTCGATGGGTTAGTAGGTTTTCGATCGGCGAAAGATGAGTATGACGAGATATTGTGCTGTTTGCCCTTATCTAAATTAGGCGTAACGCAGGACGAATATGTGATATCATTTTGTTGCTTGCTAATTAAAATGGTAGGCGTAACGTTATCCATTTTATTTATGGCTGGCAACGACTTGAAGGTAAAAAAATTCTTTTTTTCACCCCCGTTGGGTGATATTACTACTTGGGCATGAATGTTCAAATCATAGAGGACGTGTGCTAATGTCAACTCGTCAAATGCATAGATCAAAAATTGAGGATAAAAATTGTAGGCCGTGTAAATGGACATCCCTGAAGCGATGCATATACATCCGGTGCCAAATACGCTCCAGAAACTCCAGCCGAACCACAATTTCAAATGGCGGGATGGGAATATTACTTGGTGCATTTCGAACTTGCGATTAGCATTACGTAAATAGTTCAGGGATACCTCTGTCAACACGTAATCAAAGGACTCGAGTTGAGCTATCTGGGAGATCATCATCACATACGACAAATTAGCGGATATCATCAGGGCTCCTAGGAGGCAAGTCCCCAGTGCCGCCTCGGAAATCATGGATTGAACATACAGAATCCACGTCACTATTAAAACTATTATAGCTGCTTTCAAGAATTTATCGGTTATGTAGCCCGCTCTTCTAAAATTATCGCACCACGAAAATTCTGGGCCTGCAAAGTAAAAATGATGATAACCGTTGGCTAAATACTCCACCAAGTTTAGGAGAGAATTGGGCCAACCCAGAGATAAAGCCCGGAGGTAATCTACCGAACAGTGATTCCTTTCCAACAATCGCAATTCGTCGTTGAAAGCAAACATTTTGGCGTTCAAGGTATCGATGTGCTTTAAGAAGTTATAGTCCTTGTTCTTGCAAACGATGGACACGTTGAGCGAGTCGAGTCCTATGTTTACCTTGACCCTGGCATATATGGGTTCGATGTTAGGAATCAGCTGAGGCGGCAGTGTTGTGTTTAAAAGATTCTGATTATTATCATCATTATCGTTTTTATAATAAAATTCGGTAAAGTTGAATAAGGGCGTATCCGCCCGCCCGTATATCCAATTTTTTTCGGTGAGCCCACATATTAAAATCGCAGCTACCGCGATACTTATGAATATCTAAATATTTAAAATTATTAAAAACGTTTGATAAGATATTAAGTTTAACAATTAAAAATAGAAATAATCATAAATAGAAGGGAGAGTAAACCAACCAAAATTAATTTTAAAAGTTAGCAAATAAATTTTGATCGAATAAAATCATTTACTTTGACCCATTGTTTGATCATTTTATTCTTCATGCCGGGTAGAATGGCGAGTAAGGCTATGATTATCACCAAAAATACGATTTCATAAGCCATGTCCTCTAAATTTAGAACTGCGGGAAATCTTTTTTCCTTGAAATTCCTTTGAATCTTCCATTTGTCGGAATCATTTAGCATACTTTTAAAACTATTCATATCTGTCCCGATAGAAGCAAATTTTTTAATATTTAAATTAACCTCTCCTCATTTCTTTTCCTTGACGAAAATCATAAAGTAATAATTAAATCATTATAATTTTATTTTTACATTATTTAGTTAAAAAGTTTTAAACGGTTTTTTTTTTAAAAAAATTTATAAATTCAATTTAATTCTGATTGGTTGAAAATGTTATTATTTTTCTGTTTATTATTTGTTTAGCCAAAAATGATATTATCCAACTGTAAAAGAAAGAAGGTAAAATGTTTTAAAAAATAATAAATATTATATCATTTCTTTTCTAAAAAAATATCCTTTTTAACCACGCGTTCACAGTTACCCCTAAATAGAGAATATGATATAATTATAATAATTTTACGTTCATTTTTGTATATTATATTTTGTCTCGAATTCGCGCTAACGAATGCATTTAGGCGATAGTGATTGGCGACACGATTTAACAGCTGATTGATTTTTTTTTTACAATCGAGATCCATTTTTCTTTTAATTTTATTTTCGAATTCGAATCACCGCAATAATTTAAGGAAAATGGATGTTATTAAAAGAATTCAAAGCTCGATCAAATGTTAAATCCGTATTCTGGTAAAACCATCTATTACAGTCTTATAGCAGTGTTCTGATTCATTTTATCTCTTGATAGTCGTCTATATAGCTTCCTCTAGAGAGCCTAAAAAGGAAAAAGCTAATTAGGTTTACGTAGTTGATAGCGGCGATAATAAAATTTATTTAATGTAAATATTTAAAACAAACCAAGATAGAGTGTCCTAGTTTAAAATCTGTTTAGTTTGGGCTAAACAAAAATAAGTTAAAAAATGAGACAAATCAGGACACGGCCTAAGAATCCATAATAGACAAGGAAATGTTTTGATAAGTAAATTACCCAAACTATCGATGAAATAGAATGTGGTATAAATGAGTTAATCTAATAAAAATACGCATTCAATATCTATCTTATATAAAATTCAACTGAAAAAATATGGAAAATTATTAACAATTTAGGACAGTTGTATCTTAATCCTCTAGGGATTAAAATCAAATAATTAAGTTTTCGCCTTAATAATAAAATAGTAAATTAAATGAGTTAGATCTTACTTAAGTCCAAACTTAATATTTACCTGATTTTTAAAAGATCCTTTTTATTTCGTGATATTTCGTATAAAAACATTTTTTTAAATATAATTTATTAGATATATTATTAATAATAAAATATTTACAAGATATACAAATACACCAAACCTATCATAATTTATCTACATAAATGTTCAACG